CATGATGAAGTTGCTGTTTGAAGTAATAGTTGTTAGTTTGTTTGTTGGTAGCAGTTTTCTTTTACTTAAAGTCCTTTCTAGAGGAAGATTTTCTTTGTTTTTGTTATTTTCTTTTTTTTCTATTTTGGCGCAGTATAGTAGAGTGAGTTACAGGAAAGAGTTTTTTTCCTACTTTGATATATTAGCTCATATTAGGGTTTGGGTTAGCATAATGTTAGTCAATTTTTATCAGATTTTTGTTTTTGGAGGATTATGTTGTCGGAAATTTTGTACCAAAACTCCTTCAAGGTGTTGTAGACCATCATGGACTATTTATTAATTATGATATCGGGTATTTAGTATCTGTTCATGATATAATAGTTTTTCAGAATTCGAATTTATATCATAATTTTTTTGAAGAGGATGATTATATATTAGCAGATTCTATTTATCCTATTTCTCGTATTCGCATTCCTTCATCCAAAGCACCATTAGGTCTAACAAGATGACAACAAATTGAATTTAATGTCTTATAGTAAAATTCATGTACGTAATTGTTGAACAAGCATTTGGTCGACTTAAAATCATCTTATAGAAATGCGGATTAAAGATACTAAAATTGCTACAAAACTTATTAAAATTGCAATAATTCTTTATAACTTAGTTAAGAGAGGTGATGATGTTTGGGAGTTACCAGAAGAACTAGATCGTCAAATCGAAAAAAATGAAAGTATTCTTAAACGTCAAAATTTAATGAACATTATTTATCATCTGAATAACTTCTACATTAGTTATATAAGTTAGTACTAAATTAGGAGATAATATAATCGATTGCAAATCGACCTTTTTATTTTTATAAACTTGAGAATATTACATCTACCCGTAAAACTGCGAAATAATGAGCATGGGCATTATTTTGAAAATCGCATTCTCTAAAAATAGCATACCTGGCTTTAAAATAACTCCCATACGTGTCCCGAAATAAATAGCGCGCACCTTATATAGCACATAAGCAATGAATGACACGTGTAAGTACGTACAGTTAAAATAGAAATATGTGTCAGAAGATCTTGTTTCGAAATATCGCACATGCGCATACTCAAAATAGTGCGCAGGTGATCGAAATAATGCGAAGGTGAGCGGTTTTACAGTAATATTTAATTATATTTGTCGATGTCAGAATAGGATTATTTAGATTTAGAATTCACTTAAGTAAATTCCAATAATATAGATATTAATTTTAAATTGAATCTGAGTATTCGTGATTCTTAATTAATTATTCAAAATAATGTTTGCCGAATAGTTGACGAATGGTATGCCGAATGTTTGACGATTTAGTGTCATTTTTTCTATTTTCAACAGTGATGACAATGTTGAAGAATCAGAGATGGAAGAGGTACTTAGAATACATGTAGTTAAATCAAACTTATATACAAATTTATTCTAGGTGACTTTGTATTACAAACGAAAAAAGAGAAGTTTCACGCAGTCGAAATAATCAAAAACTCTATTCAGAATTTCATCAATCAGAAGTGGATTTGTTGGATATTATTCAAGTTCCGAAAACTGAGGTAATTTCGGTTTCCCATATACAGTATCATCATGTTTTTATATTACATATCGAAATTAAAGATGAATTTATTTGAGTTTTAGATAAGGATTGGAACCATTTAATCGCATAAATATTGTTTCATAATTTCAGACTGAATTATGTTAATCATGGCCCAAGGTTATCTTAATGCCAGTTGAGTTAAACGATTAATACAATTAAAGAAATTCCAGGCGGTTCCAATCCCTAGTTTTAGAAAGGTTGGAAACAAAATCGCGTTTAAGAAACATATGATATTTTTTGTTTTTTTTTTGATGTTGAATTTCATTACACAAACCAACTTTTTACAAAATAAACGGATCCGATAAAAAGTAAATGAACAATAGTTAGTTTATTTTAGCAGTTAGGGACATCGATTTTAAATATATAGTTATCAAGATATTGTGTCACTCAAAGCTCGAAAAAAAAAAAGATTATAATGTTATTGGCTGTTAGGGATAATGGAGGTTCAGAAAGTGTTATTTCATATTACAGTACTAAATAAAAACAAAAGAGTTCATATCTCATAATGTCTTGTCCTTATAAAACACACGACTACACTTCAAGGGAAAACCTGTGATTAATATTCTTAATGCATTTGATAGCTTTCATCTTGTGGATTCAATTTCTTGATGACACTATCAAAAATTGAATCCCCTGTCCGTATTTTTATATAGTTATCAATCTACTTTAAATATATATATATATATAAGTCATTCTCGTTATAGTGAACTCTCGTCATAGTGGAGAGCTTGTTATAGTGAAGAATTTTTTTTAAATTTATTGCTATATAGGATATAAGCTATAGTGAAGATTTTTTTTCTCAGCTCGATCACTTCACTATAAGGCCGTTTGAATTTAAAAGTTCGTTTAATGTCCCACCATTGGAGCTCCCCCCAACATTAAACAATAATCAGAGTAGCTGATAGAAAACGAGTATAAAAAATATAAATAAATAAAAAAATCCCCAGATATAAATGAACCCAAATCAGCAAATATGAAAGAAAGAACGTTAAACGAATCTTTAAATTCAAACGTCCTAACGAGAGTGACTTGTATATGCATATTAGCAGAAGTTAATTATAATAGCTTAAGGGGTAGTCCACAGTTAAAATTCATAATAAAAATCGACGCAGTAATACTAATACTTCATAGCCGAAAGTTTTTTGCAAGAATTTTACTAAAACTCACCTATGGTGTTTTACACCTAAGTATGCATTATCTCGAAAACTGGCTAATTAATCAGTACGAGGTGTTCTAAGTAAAGATGTTCTACGTCCCTGAAAACCCTTCCCAAACCCTAATACTAACTTAAAAACTAACCCTAAAATGAAAAAATTTAAGTCAAAAATTTCTATAATAAAACTTATAAAAACTTAAAAAATTTAAAAAACATAATAAAAACATATAATAGGTGCAAAACACTATAGGTGCGTTTTATAATAATTGTTTTGCAATAATAAAGATCGTATAGTAAAAAAATTAAAAATACTAATATCTCGGGATCTACTGATCGTTTTAGATGATTTAGCACCATTAGAACGAGAACAATTGTCTCTACAACTTTATTTAGAAGCTCAAGAAAGTAAAAAAATTTTATATGTAAGCAAGCCTCATTCCTGCATTATAGAAAAACTAAATCATGTTCTGACTTTTTTTACTATGAAATTTGCTATTTTTTATACCCTTAAGGGCTGAACTACCTCTCAAAGCATTGTTTAGTGTTAAATTCTGTTCAAAATTTGTTCGAGCTATTCGAGTAACTACACTTCTGTAGGTGTACCCAAAAATTACCAGTATTTGTATATAAGTCACTAGGATTATTCCTGAATGTAAATGATGACAATAACGATAAGGGATGTTTTTTAAAAGGACTTATTTTTTAAGTTATCATCACCTTAGATTTGCTTAGGAAGGTCAAGCCCTAACAAAGAAAGCTGAATGTGGCTTCAATTTTAGAGTATGGTAAAAAGGCTTTTCTTTAATTTTTAATTATATTTTGAGCATCGTTAAATAAATGTTTTCTTTTTTGTATAAACAGTAGATAGCGAGACTTAAATATGTATGTCATATTTTATATATTTTATATGCTCAATACTGCGGATTGTGTAATAAAAGGATAGACTTGTCTTTATAATTCACTTTGCCTCATCAAATAACAAATAAGCCATATTTAAACAAATATAAATTATAACTTGTTTGGAATAAAAACATTGCCACAAAATATGAACGCGAAATGACAATTCTTATTAATACGAAAAAAGTCTTTAACGTTAATAATTATTCTATAAAAATTTTGGTTTAACGAAATGAAATAATCCAGTTCTTTTAGCATCCAAAAATTTGGCTTATTATTCTCTTGAGGCTTAGTTTGTTTCTGCCCTCAACACAAACTTTTGCATAAACGCAAAATCTTCAAATAATGTATCGTTCTTTTTATTATAAAAATTCTCGTCGTTAAATCTTTCATATCGATCCATAAGCCATAATTATTTATAAAATATAAATGTATGAACTTTATCTAAACTTCCCCATTTTTGTTTTTTTTGTCAAAAAATAAAAATTATGTCGTTTTTTTAAAAATTTTAATATAATATATTTAGTGTTAGTATTATTATTAGTATTTACCTGAACCTAAATAAGGTTTTCGCGTCTTCTGGAAATTTTTATTGTACCCTATTATAGGGTGCTTTCTTTTCTTAGAAGATAAAAAAACAAACCTTTGATAACCCGTATAATATAAATTAATTTTTTCATACTGTGAAAGGAATTCCAAAAAAAAATGTTTGAAGATATTTCCAAAGATCTAATTGCAAGTTTTGCAGAGTTTCTTGGAACTGCATATTTTTTATTCTTTGGTAAATAGATGACTTTTTCTGATGTAAAAATATAATTAAGTTAAAACATACGCATTGAACGTTTAATGACAGTAGTATGCTTTATTGCACTTTATTGCACATAGGAGTTGGAGGAAACCTTGCAATCACAAACAATATCTCGGATACTACTCCTGGCGTGTACGTATATATTTTCATCTATTTCTTAATTAACATGAAAATTTGTATACTTCTTTAATAATTATAGGATTGCTAAATTATTTTCAGCGGAGTGATTGCGGGTCCATTTGCTTGGGGATTTTCTCTTTTAGTAAACGTTTGGGTATGGGGACCAATTTCTGGCGGAGGTTTGATTAAAATTTATATTCGATTCATATGATTCCAACGGATATATATTGCTTCTAAACTTTTATTATCGTTAAAATTGCAGTACTTAACCCTGCTATAACCATCGGATTAATGGTTACTCAAGACTTTAAACTTGTCAAAGGAATTTTATACATCATTGCTCAATTCCTAGGCGCTTTACTTGGTGCATATTTAATTGAAACTGTTCAGCCTGGTCCATCCGGCGGTGCCACCACTTTGGTAATGTAATATAAAATTGTTTATCAGTTTCAAATTTCACAAAAAAACGAAAAAAAAAATCTGAATATTATTTTTATTTGCTTTATAAATATTAGGCTAGTGGAACCACAGTTATGGAAGGACTGTTATTAGAAACGTTTTGTACTTCAATACTCACATTCGCCGTGTTCATGCTTGCTATCGAAAAAAATGCAGAATGGGGTGCGGCAATTGGCATTGGATGGGCTCTATTTATTTCTGCTATTGCAGGTAACGTAATCGTAACTTATAATATTTTGTCATAACCTATTCATTTTCTAATATCCTTTCAGCTGGTCCATATACGGGTGCTAGGTATTATTCTATAAAGCTTTAGTATTGAGCATTCTATTTTTTTTACCTCATTGTTACTACTTAAGTAACTTACGAATTCAATACTGTATTAAATAGTTTAAACCCAGCAAGAACTTTTGGTCCAGCTCTAATCACTGGAGATTACGGAACGGCAAACTGGATATATTATATTGGACCGATTCTTGGCGCATTATTAGCAGCTGCATTCGTGACATTATTCAGGAAATTGAATTACAAACCAAAGTATAAAGACCAAGTATTTAATTAATTTCCCTCATAATATATCTATCGCTCCATCCTTAAGTCACTTTTTTTTTTTTTCCACACATTTACATCATAAACCTTTTCTCTAAATAATAATAGGACTTAGAACAACCGAGAGAACCTAAAAATAAAGGTCGAGAACGTGTTTATGATGAAGATTTGGGAACAGAAAATTTGGGACAAATCGAGTTGATCGATAATAGAAATAATAGACAGTGAATTTTTTGCATACCTGCATATGTACAAAGTTTATGTATTCTTGTTCATGTATTTATTTTTGCAATTACAAAGTTCTTGCAGATAATTTATTTCACTAAACGTATATTACTATATAATATATTTGGATTTACATATAACGATGTGATAAGCTTAATCCAATAAACTTTATATGAATCTTTAAAAAATAGACTTTTTGATACATTACAAACTACGGCAATTATCAAAAATTTTAATAATAAGTGTCGCGGATTATGGTGAAATTTGGGGTCTCCTTTTGAAAACATAAACTCTACAAAATCTATTTGTACTCTTTTCTAAATAACTCTAACCTAAATTCTAAACCTAACCCTAAAAAAAAAGCTAAGAAAATACACCCAAAAAAATTTTAAATTTTCATATTAAAATAGGTCCAAATTTCACCATAATCTGCGACAATAAGTATACAGATGGAAGAATGATTTCGCTACCAATTGCAACTCAACGTTTTATCATTTTTTGATTATCTTTATCTAAGTCATTTTTGTTAGATGTAGTCATTCGCAAAACTTTAGTTATTTTTCGGTTTCATTCTTTATCATTTTATTAAAATAGTCTCGTTTAACTATAGTTACAAAGTTTTGTGTTCATCTCTCATTACACCTCCTTGTTAATAATAAAACCAAAGAACACGGGATATTTGATTTCAATTGAATGACTACCATTATGGGAATAGATATTAGGAACATGTTCTACTGAGCTTACTCGTCCTGTGTCCTGGCTACCACATAAAGGCATATCTTTTTGTCAGGATCCTATGTGTAGATATCCAAAATTAGTCAAATTACATTAGTTTGAACATAATAAAAACGGACATCTTAAAAGAGTGAGAGAGAAGAAACCCGCAAAATCTAACATTAAAAAGGAAAAAAATTTTATCAAAACCCAACGCATACTGAAAAATTATATCAAACCGTAAAAAGTGGCTGGTTATCGTTCTCGTTATTGTTATCGTTATCGGCTAAATTATTATTTTTGTACTGGTACTTTGTTTCATTCAGGTTGTTCAAATAAAGTTTAGTTCTAATAATAGTACTATCGCTGGTTCCACTACGTATCACTAATTTCTTCTGTACTAATGTTAGTGGCTAAAGATGGTGAACCAGTATTCTTGCAAATTCGAGAATGTGTACAGTAAATGCGAAAAGAAAGAAAGAAAAGGATATATTATTGGGGAAATAGATGTCGGTACCACATTATATTAGATCTAAGCTCGTCATTTAACGAAAACTAACTTTTATTGACCGATTAGATGGAGATAAGGTATAATCGTCCTAATATCCTGATCCTTATGGAAACGAAGTTTCCTCTAATACCCAACAGCTCAGGATATTCTTATTATTACGAATATACTTCAGTTTCATTATCAATCCCATGTTACTCACTGATAACTTTTGAAGGAAACGATCTTTGTCACTTTAGCTATAATTATTGATGAAATTTGTTTATTTGGAATAATCAGTTTATTAAATATAATCAGTTTTTTTTTAAGAATTTTTTTCATATGATTTCACTTTACAAAAATAACCATTAGTTTTGAAAATAACAGATATGAAGTAAACAATTCTGTAAAGTTGTATTTAAGCCTTTTCATAGACCAACCTTCAGGATTGGACGGGAAATCTATGCCTGAGTAATTCCCCATCTGATAACATTTTCTCTTCCATTTTTAAATCATCTCGCTTAATAAATGAGATTAATGCATCTTCTGGAAGTGAGGTGAACTCTTCTGACTCAAAAACTTTGACCATAACGATAATATAATTGCTCCATTTTTACAATTCTCGAAACTTTTTTTGGTAAATACGTGTAAAATATAACTTGTGCCATGATTATTTCAATGATCGCTAAATATTTTTATTGCTATTTCATATCCTAGTCTAAAAATACGGATAACCAGTTGAGTAAATTCTTAATCGGTTGACCCGTACAACCGGTTGAGTATCGGTAATCGGTTGACAGGATGACGGAGCAAAGGGTCCGAGAACTTCCGAAAAGAAAATGAATGAACATAAAAATTTAGTAAAGGTCCAAGAATATTTCGGTTCGGTTATCCGACTAAGGAAGTGGATAATGATAATGTTAAATGAAGTTTTAAATTCACATTTAATAGAAAATTGAACAGAGCTTAAATATCCTAATTATTTAAAATATATAACTGCACAAACTGTCTTATTTAATAAAAACGAGAATTATTTACTGTACTCATTACATTTGCGCGACGCTTTATTTTGTCATATGTGACTCTATGTTTTATTTATTAGAATTGTCCTCACCCTAATGTGTAAAAGTACTATATAGTATGCAATATATGGTTAAAATAGACCAAAGAATAGTAGTCTTTGAACCAGACCAAACTAGTGGAATTTAACAGCCCTAATATGTATAACTAAACTGCAATATAATTCTCTAACTTCCTTAGGCTGATACAAGTACTAAGATCACCTTCTCATAAATATACCATCTTCCTAACAACTATATCACTTATGATAATCAGCTAATTTATTATTATTTCTATAATCCACTAATTGATTCCAGATTTTTTTCTTTCAAGCAGATAAGATTTCTTCATCACAAATTACTGAGAATTGACAATTATCTTTTTACTTGATATCATTTAAAACTAGATAATTATCTGTATAGGCCATGTTTTATAATTATCTGATTTATATCAAATTTAGAGATTTAGACTTATTAGATTTGGTTTGATATTGATAGTTAAAACCAGATTCATTTTTTGTACATTCGAAATAACTTATATTAAAGACTTAATAATATATAAAATAACTGAATTATGTAAAAAATTATCTCAATATATTGGTTTTAAACCTGAAGAAATCTATCTTCCAATCATAGAAGAATATAGATAGCTTTTTCAGGAATTAATAACAGATCAAGAGGAGATAAAGATATTGTAATAAATAAGTATAGATTTTGCAACATCATAGACATAATTTTAAAGGTAAGTATATATATATATATATATTGAAAAAGATGTTGAGAAAGTATTGATAGAGGTATCTCTATTGATAGGGATGTTAAATAGTTCGTCCAGTCTGGTTTTAGTGTCAGAACTTGAAAGTTTAAGTTTAAACTAGCTAGTTCAGATAGTTAATTATGTTGTTTAGACTAATATTAAAACCTTGACAAAAATGTATTCAAAAAGTGATATACAGTATAAACAGTTATATATATTATATATA